TCATCGAATATGAATATTATATGTTGTTAATAAGGTTACAATACTTTATCTAATTATGTATGTTATATTTTGTTAAAAAAAGACCAATATTTTATCTAATAATGTATATTATATTTTGTATTGTACAAATAATATGATAAGTTCCAACATCGATTGTTTCTAAAAAGAAACTGAAAGCTTTAGATTTCAGTTTTCTGTGCAAAATAATTTCCCTCACACTGTTGTTAATAAAGTGATTGCTTCATTTGACACAAATTGACATTAAAGTACAACTTAGATTTTTACCTGAAAAAAAACTAGGTCAACTGCTATCTAAAAAGTATATGGATAATGTGTATGTAATTGAATGCATGGATTGCAAAAGCTGTTATATTGATAAGAGAAACAGACAACTTTCTATTACTTTGCATGAACATTTAAAATATCCATCTCATGTTTTTGAATACATGTCTAGGAACAATCAATCTTTTGATTCTTCTCAGGTAAAAATCCTCAGCAGAGAAGACAACATTAACAGACGAAAAATAAAAGATGCCCTATTAATAAAAAATATAATCCTATTCTTAACCAGTACAACGGTGTTCATTTATATATCTATTTTAATTGCTCCTTTTCCTCTTGTTTATAGAATGAATTTCAATACTTAGACTCAGGCCTAGATGCTTTATTTATTATACCTCAATTTTACACTTCATTCATAAATTACTTTTATTTTTTACAATTATTTAATCGCATGCTTGTAAATTACTTTTGTTATAGATTCTCACGTGATCCTTTTATAAGTTAAATTCTGTTAGCTTCAGTTCTTGTATTTCACCTGATGATATGTTGTGAATAAAATAAACAAAAGTTTTACTATGTACAACTGATAAAAACTTGTGTGAATGTGATATTTTACCTAACAATGAATGTCATACTTTGCTAATAAGAGAGCAATACTTTATTAAATGTTTTGTCACAAAGAGATGAATACTTTATGTAACAATGAATGTAACATTTTTTCAATAAGTAATCAATACTTTACCCAACAATGAATCCAATATTTTGTTAATAAGAGAGCAATACTTTATGTATCAACTAGAGGGGTACTCAGTACAGAGCATACCTTGGCCATGCAACGTTGATCATATTCGGCTCTCAAAAAATACGAAAATATGTCCTTGTCTCTGTCATTATCAATGGACACTGACCATTTTTGGCAGAACAATGAAGAATAATATTCTACACATTTCCACCAAGTTTCATCAAAATCCGATCATTTTTGACTAAGTTAGAGAAAAAATAGTGTGAAAAATCGGTCCCCATGTTAACAGATAAGGATTCTTTGGATATTCATGACCTTGCTGTGACCATGATCCTCCAAAAACTAATCACTTCTAAGTTGGATCATACTCTAAATGTATACCAACTTTCATCAAAATCCATTCAGTCATTTTTGAGAAATCTTGCAGGCAAACACACTCACACAAGGGCGAAAACGTAACCTCTGTCCATCTTTGTTGGCAGAGGTAATGAATATTATATTTTGTTAATAAGAGAGCAATACCTTGTCTAACAATGAAGGTTATATTTGGCTCCTAAGAGAGCCTTACCTAACAATGAACGTAATATTTTTGTAAAAAAAAGAAGTCAATACTTTACCTGCCAATGAATATTATGTGTTGTTGATAAGAGAACAATAGTTTATCTTATAATGAATGTCATATTTTGTCATTAAAATAGTAATACTTTAGCTGACAATGAAAAAACGCTATCAGCACAATAATGAATCTATACCCTGAGAGAAAACACTTTTCTTCAATTATATGATGATATGATGGCACTTTACCTGCCAATGAAGGGCATCCTTTGTCACTGAGACGTCGTCGAATTGGACCAACAGTAGAATGGCTGGAAGGATGCAAAGGTAGAGAATTTGTTGGGATAAGCCTTGGTGGTATTGTCATCAAGGGTGAAGTGTTGGCCATTGTTGTCAAGGCAACACTGAGTAGTCTAGCAGGAGAAGAAACTGATACAGATGGCAGAGAAAGTTGTGATGTAGGGACTGGTTTAGTAAGAGAAGGGAAAAGACCTCCAGAAGTGCACACTGATGTAATTGGTAGAGATAACTGTGGTGATGTACATGTTGGTTTGGAGAGTGGAGGCAAGGCCTGTTTGAGAAGGTTAAAATTTTAATTGTCACACTGCTTTGCTAACCAAGATCAACTTAAGTAAAAATATTGACTACAAATGAGATGAGTTTGAATTACATTGGTTAAGTAAAACTAAAGACCTGTTTTCATGAATGTCTTGCTAAATTAGAAATTATTTGGCATTTTATTAATAATTTTATTTACAAATTTAATTTTTATAATATGCATTGTATAAAATATCATTATTTTAAAGTTAAATAACCACATTATCTCAAGCTGCAAGTTATTTTAAGTAAGAAAAATCACATTGTTTCCAATAAGATAAGGAAATTAATTAAGCACACTGTAAATTTTATTGCAATGGACCAAAGATAATATGAATGTAAAAATCATAAATAATGTTCAACGTTAAACTGGTACACAGTTAAAAACATTTTATTTAGGCCTATCTATGGCCTTAAAAAAGTTGACAACTCTACATGTTTCGACGTTACAACGTCATCCTCAGGAGTGAATTACAAGACAATTGCCAAAGTATTTATAGCTTGTTAGTAGGTCATTGACCTGGATGTTATTTTTCAAACTTTCATGTTAAACCATTCGAAGGAGATCAATCCACATTCTTGCGGAAATATTCGCCAAACCTTCATCTCTATTTAATACTACATGATCTTTTTTGTGTTTTATTATTTCTAACGATTCACGAATATTATTACCTATTACACTTTTAGGTTGAGCTAATATTACAGTTTTTCCCATAATATTGTGTCTTGTGTTTCATGTAGATGTTCTGCTATGGATGAATTTTCAGTTTTTTTATTTTTTACATATCCT